GGCAGTATATATTTTCATCTGCTGCGTGTGTCGAAGCTACCTGGTCTGTTGCTCCACACAAAGCTTTGGGGCTTCTCAGCCGTTGATGCCCTCCGTCCTCTACGCTTGTGAAACGTGGACCCATCGAATATAACATGTGCTGGTTAGAAACTTTCAGGCTAGCCTGCTTACGATCCATCCTGGTTTTAACCAGGCTAGATTGTGTGTAGAGCTCACATTCTTTAAAGATATGGACATTCCCACGAGTGAGCTTAAAGATGTGTACAGGTCTCAGAGGATCACCAGTGTATTCCTTTATGGGAGTATACAGCTTCACAATGTGGTTCCTTGGTAACTATTAGCTGTGGTTGCACTCCAAAAAAGATTGTGGCATTTGGTAGATGCAATTGAAGTCCTTTTTGGGATGGAGGTTCATGGCTTCATCTTAAATAGCCCGAAATGCCAGTAACCACTACAAAAATTAGTTAATACACCCAAGGGCCAATTTTGATGTGCTACAAGGGTTGGTTTTAAAAAGCAAACTTGTTCTCTTTAAACAGAATTAACCTATGATCATGGGTGTGAAGTGTTAACAGTGTCATTCAGTCTAGGATGGTGTGCAATGTCAAACCACAAAGTGGCGATGCCTTGTGTTGCAAAAAGAAAATACCACAGAATTAGTTACCAATATTTCTATAAATCTTCATATAAATAGGAATTGTATACACAGGTTGATACGTTTCTAGTTTTATTTCATGTTTGGACATCATTGGTGACTGTTGATGCTGTAACCCATTACATAGCAATGACCTTCATATATACTGTATATACAACTTACAATTGGATCTGCATTTACATGTATGCCTTCAGTATCACAAGTCTGCCACATACCCTTCTTCCACTGAACCCTAAAGGATATACAGTACTGCTTATTAAGTTTATGGGACAGCAATGTGTAGCCCAACAAAAGCCTCTATACAATGATTAATCTTGTCACTTATAAAAACCTATGTTAATTAAATAGTGCTAATTTAGATAAACCATTGAAACTAAATTTAATCAATTACATTTAAAAACGGGTGCATTCTAATTCACTAGCATTACAGCAGCTGCAAAGATTCTAAAATACACAAATGGGCTCTGAAATGCAAGTCTTCTGGGTTGTAGCAGCACATGCCTTGCTACTCAAGCTCAACAGTATCTGCATTGAGAAGTGATTTATTAATACTACACCAAAGTTGTACTGGGTGGCAATATTCGGTTAAATAAATGGACTTCAACACAGGACAATGCAATAAAAATGTGCCACATGCTGCAAGATGCAAAAAAAAAACATTGTAAGATTGGTACAATCTGAACAGCTACACATCGGATTCAAATGTACATTTCAATTTTACTTTTTAAAAAAATGGTGTTTACATGAAATGGCGCGCAACTAGCCAATGCAATGATCCAGGCCATAACGCAGCCAAGCTCATGATGCACACGAATGTGCAAGAAACACAAACTGCAACGTAGTTTCTGAATGCTCGCAGCACAAAAGCAAAGCTTGTGGATTACTTGATATAAACCTTTAACTGCCATCCTGCTGCATGCCACAACTCATTTACAAATCCCTACCTTGACTCTTAACGCTACAACATAGCAAGCAATCATAAGCAGCTTTCAATAAACTCCACACAATACGTATGCCTAGCTCGGTGCTAAGCCATTTAACATTCCTATGCAGAAAAACAGTACACGATTGCTACTTCTGGTACTGGAAGGGTAATGAATTATATATACACACTCTAGCATCAATGTCACATTATAAACTAAAAACTACAGCAACAAACACCTCGTAAATTAAAATCTGCAAGTCATCTGCAATGTCCATGGGCGTAGATGTCCCTCACTACCCTGATCGTCCCTGAACTGTGCATTTCCTTTAAGAAATTTAAGAATTAGGAGCATTGTTCCACCAGAGCACTATTTGTACACTCACGAAAAGGAACTATTACAGATGACCCATCTTTATCCAGTGTAACTACCAATGTCATTATTATTGAATGGCATGACTTATACAGTTGTGGTCAGAAGACATTTTACGAGGAAAGTGCATTGCGAGAAATGTATCACTGAAATTCTATCGTGTAAAAAGGTGCCACATTTGAGACAATCCACAAACACCAAATTTGTACTGCAAGTTCCTATGTCCACATGACAATATAGGCATGGAAAAAAACTTCACCAATCACCACAGCAAATACAACCAAAAAGTGTTTTTGTCAAAATTATAATTTTGCAACACTTTTGCTTAACTTTTGTTTACAAATCTCCTTGCTTGGGTGAAAACAAATGGTTTTTGATCAATACTAAGTTTCCCAAAATGACAACTCATGGGAATAATCCTAAACCACCACCTGCTTCTTCTTTGGTTCTTTCGTTAAATTCACGTAGAATGAGAATAAAATAATAAATTGATAAAATAAAATAACACAATAATATTCTCACGACGTTTTGGCCACAACAGCGCTGTCCTCCAGACAGTCACGTCCCTTCACCTGATGAAGGCCGCTTGTGTTGTGGCCGAAACGTCGTGAGAATATTATTGTGTTATTTTATCAATTTATTTTATTCTCATTCTACGTGACTTTACCGAAAGAACCAAAGAAGATGAATCCTTGCAGTCACGAAAGCTTTAAATCGAAACACCACCTGCTTAATTAGCACTGCCCCCCCCACTACCCCAAATTTCAATCATGCTTTAGAGGCCGCTTTGCCTCGTGTACCTTGGAATGCAAGTGTAAACTTCGCGAATGTTCGAAGTGAAAGTGCCATACCCGGTCGCCCACATGCCCATCAAGGTATGTGTGGAGGGAAACCAAGCAAGCTCGTGACGTCGGCGAGTATTATTTTAGCTGGGGCCAATGCCTGGTGATATTGGAACACCCAAGTAACTTGAGTAAAATCGCGTGAGCCTGAATGATCGCCATCACTCGATTTTAGCTTTTTGTTGGGGAATGTGTCGTTTAGTAAAAAAAAAGTGTGCTAACCAAATAATTAGTGTTAAGAGTATGTTAAAAGGAAACTGAATATGGTAAAAGCAAGAAGTTAACAGAGTTGATATTCATGTCACTACTACGAAGGTTACAATTTTAAACATGCCACAAATACATTGCAGTTTTAAAACAAACCTGATAAAACATGTTTAGTACCAAGGTCAAGTTTAGATTTTAAATTATTCCTATGGAATACCACTGTTATTTACACTTTGTTCGTTTTGTACCAAGTGAAACCCATCTGGCAGAGGTAGGGTAATGTTAAAATAATGAAATTCTAAGGAATTTAAATGTCCTTTCACTTTATGATTACAGAAAATAAAAAAATGTTTCTCTCAGACTATGAATATGCTAAAATTATATTTTGCTGGTTGCCAGATTAATTATCCATGGTGATGCACATGACGACTCCAGAGTTCCCGTAAACACTGAAAACTACCTGGGATACTTTCGTTGCCTGGCAAATCGTGATTACACTGTTGCACGAGCATGCTGAATTGAAATTCTATAGAATAGGAAACATTGATTTATCTCACGTGAATATATGGAAATTGGTAACTTACAGCTGTTTTTATTACGTTATATGATGGGGAATGGCATGATAACCATGCATGTCATACCTCCTTATAAACCAGTGTCACAATATTCTTGGTTCTTTTGGTAAAGTCACGTAGAAGGGAAACAAAATAAAATTCTCACGACGTTTCGACTGCAACACAAGCAATCATCATTAGGTGTGAAAACCACAAGAAATTTTGAAAAAAGTGGCGGTTTTTTTACGTTAGCACCACGGAGAGCGATTTGACAGTTTGTTCAGATGGACGAGTCCATCTATGTTCAGAAAAGAGGGGGGAGACGGAAAAATAATGGATGCGGTCTGAAAGCCACCTTAAGCGTAAACAATCAATTAAGACCCGAAAAAATTCTCACGACGTTTCGTTTGAAAAAAAAAAGTGGCCAGAATCCATCTTCTCGGTTGAAATTGTCTCTGTTTGTATATGTGGATAGCCTCATGAACGAATCTCTCATGGTAGCCAGATGGCTTGCAAAGAACCTCTGTCTTGGAGAAGTCAATGTCATGTGAACCTACTGAATTATAACAGTGATCTGCCACGGCCGAGGTGTTGGTCCTACCGTGTTTCAGGTCTGCTTTGTGTTCACGAATGCGGTCCGAGACATGTCGTTTGGTTTCTCCAATGTAACTACTACCACAGAGGCAACTTAGTTTGTAGACGCCAGGGTACTGTATGTCCGGAATCACATCTTTTACAGACGGAACCAGATCACAGATTTTATGTAATGTGTTGAATCGGACCTGGATCTTGTGTTTATTCAAGATTTTGGAGATCTTTTTTGTGATCCCCGCAATGTAGGGTAAAGTGATGGTTTTGAAAGGCTCCTCAAGAGGATCCTTCTTCATGGTTGGAGTGATCTGGTTCCGTCTGTAAAAGATGTGATTCCGGACATACAGTACCCTGGCGTCTACAAACTAAGTTGCCTCTGTGGTAGTAGTTACATTGGAGAAACCAAACGACATGTCTCGGACCGCATTCGTGAACACAAAGCAGACCTGAAACACGGTAGGACCAACACCTCGGCTGTGGCAGATCACTGTTATGATTCAGTAGATTCACATGACATTAACTTCTCCAAGACAGAGGTTCTTTGCAAGCCATCTGGCTACCATGAGAGATTCGTTCATGAGGCTATCCACATATACAAACACAGAGACGATTTGATGAACCATTTCGGGTCTTAATTGATTGATCACGCTTAAGGTGGCTTTCAGACCGCATCCATTATTTTTCGTCTCCCCCCTCCTCTTTTCCGAACATAGATGGACTCGTCCATCTGAACAAACTGTCAAATCGCTCTCCGTGGTGCTAACGTTAAAAATAACCGCCACTTTTTCAAATTTTCTTGTGGTTTTCACACCTAATGATGATTGCTTGTGTTGCAGTCGAAACGTCGTGAGAATTGTATTGTTTATGTTTTTATTATTTTATTGTTTCCCTTCTACGTGACTTTACCGAAAGAACCAAGAATATGAATCCCTGCAGTTACGAAAGCTTTAAATCAGTGTCACAATGTGATGGCAGCACTACAAAATTAATCGGTTAGCCTACGTAAGTATTAAAGTTTAAGCATTTTTACACAATTTCTTGGTCATTAAGGATAGTTTGTTTACAAGGCTCTCATCAGCAGTAAAATAAGTTGTACAGCAGAATTAAACCTGCAAAGGAGAATATTATTTAATTTGCACATGAAACTCAATTTTGACCTCATGGAGCAGAAAACACAGCTCCCGTATCATTGTCAGAGCTGCCAAATTACCATGCTCATGACATATATGCCCATAGGCATCAAAACACTGTCACATGAGCACCACAACTTCGACAGCCATTCTGAAAATGCTTCAACTGCACACACTCACTGAGAACCCCACTCTGCAGCCCAGGAGACTGCAACCTAACACTTTCATAGTTGAAGAACGTAACGTAACAGTAATGGTGTGTTTTAAAATACTTTTGGGGCGATGACAGAAAAATAGAAAGAAAATAAGTGAAGAAACTAAGAGGTGGTGGTGGTGATGATGATGATGATGATCACACCGCTGTACTGACAGATGCAGCACTCTGGCTACTCTTGCTGCGTGCGAGGCGTCCCTCCCCAGTGCAGGCTGCTTCTACCGCCGCGGCATCTTCGGCACCATCACTGTTGGGCTGAGACATTAGCAGGGCCATCGCGCTGCCATCGGCGCACGGAGACACCACGGCGACGGCTGTGCTGCCCGCCTCGGGGTGCACCGGCCCCTCGGGACCACAGCCCAGTGCCATCCCTGCGTCATCTGCTACGAGGCGGTGGTAGCGTTCCCCATCGCCTAAAAGGAACACAAGGGCATGTGCACACACCTTGGAGCAGTGGTTCTTAACCTGGGGTGCGCGCATAACCCCGCGGGGCTGTGAGATGCCCTTCATAGACGTGCGAGACATGAAACACAAAATAAGCACGGGCACGTAAACACAACGATTTTGTTTCGTCAAACCTACGTATTTATAAACACTTTTTTTAATGGTTGAAAACCCAAAGAGGTGTAAAGCTGTAGTAAAGATTAAGAACCACTGCCTTAAGAGTACCTTTTGGCAGCATGGATGTGGAGGTGCAGAATGCCTAATTAATATTTTTTGACCGTGTAATTTTTTTGGTTCCCTGGTCATTAAGTGAACATTGTCTCGTACAGTTCATGAAGATTTCTTACCAAAACTGACATCTGCAATAGGTCTGTATAAATATCTCAAGAGATGCTGGAGGAGAGTACATTAATACCTTCAGGAGGGCTTCAATCTCCCAAGCCATGATATTAACATTTTCATATTGGACACCAAGAGTGTGACACCAGTATGTAATCTACACCAGGGGCTGTCAAGCTTTACCAACTCACATTCCACCAGCCCACCGCTGGGACCCATGCCCAGTGAGACTGTGTGAAAGTAACAGCTGGTGACTTCTAAGTCAGGAGGTACAAACCCTTGCCAAGAAACAGGGTGTCTTAAACATTGCAAAAGTCACGCTGGCGAAGATGTGCATTGGAGTAGGCGTTACATTTGGTATGAAGGTGTGTTGGTGTGGCTTGGCCAGCTCACAGGGTGATGGTATGAAGTAGCAGGCGCCTTTTAGTTGCCGACCCCACTTTCCTACCCTCTACCCATCTCTACCAACCCCCCTCACTTCTCCGTGGCTGGTGCTGCGCACACACACCGGTATCAGCAGCCGGTGTCGGGGCAGTGCTGACTGCCAGTTCGTAGGCTGGTGGAGGATCCTCAGGAGGCGGGGGTGAGTCGGGAGACTTGTAAGCCGTGTAGGGCGGGGGCGGTTCGCTGAAATGGAAGGCTCCACCCTCACCGTCGTCTGAGAGGTGCAGTGGCGTGAAGCCTGTGCCCAGTGACTCGGGGCCCAACTCAAAACCATGCATGCGGCCTCGACCCAAACCTAGGTGGTGCACTGCACAAAAAGACAAACGTCGCTCTTATAGCATTATGGACTGGTGGAACAAGATATAAAAAAAAATTCCTGGCCACTTTAGTCTCCCCAATATGGATGTTTACTCAGCGCATCGGGTACTTCAGGCAGTCAACCTCGGAGGCCGAGTACCAATTCAGATAAACACGCTTGATGTTAACTGTTATGAATTAAACTCGGTCCTCTAGGTTTGCAGAACAAAGTTCACACACTGTTTGAATTTGTATCAAGGGCAATTACCTATTATAATACTGGTAGGAAACGTAGTGGACTGGAAGCCCAACCGGGATTAATTCACAGGAGGCAGGGGATTAATTGTGTATGTCTGTCCACGTCGGAGGGGTGGGGTGGGGCTGGGTGGGGAGGGGCTGGTCACCCCGTGGTGCCCTTATATGGACTGGAAGCCCAACCGGGATTAATTCACAGGAGGCAGGGGATAATACACTGCACTTTCTGGCGTCGTTTTATAATTCTGCTCACTTTTCATTTTGCTTTCTTCTACGCACGACCCTAACAAGTTTGGCTTAAATATCCGTACATAATTACTTCATAATTACTTCAAAATTGACTACCAGCCCTCTCCGCAGGAATGTGTTCAACCAGAAATATCTGTCCGTCCTGCGCGTGACGTCACTCCACATGAAGCCCACCGCCCCTCATTAATATTCATGAGTGGATTTTTGCATGAACACAAGAGGAAGGTCGAGCTGAATTAAATAATGTATTATGCAAAGTCGCTTCAAATATGACGTTTCTTTACAGAAAGTTACGCTGAAAAATATATCTACGCAGCAGTGCTACATCTGTGTGTGACGTCACTGCAAAAGAGGCCTCCCTCCTTCATTAATATTCATGTCCGCGTGGAAATTTACACAAGCACAAGAAGGTCGCGCACTCCACATGCTGCTCCCCTCAATAATCATGAGCGGGTGACGTCACTCCAAATTCCGCACCCCTCCCCAATAACCATTAGCGGGTAACGTCACTCCACATGGGGCAACCCCCCCCCCCCTCATTAATAATCATGAGCTGAACAATTTTTCTCTTGAACATTTCAGATTTACTGCAATATAAACCCGTCCTTGGACGGGCAAAAAAGCTAGTGATACTAGATTTAGCCTGCTAACACGTGTCTTATACTACACAAAGGACCCACAACCCTAAATGCTGAGTAGCCCTAAAGCATTAATTGTAAATATTTAAAAATAAACACTCAAGCAATGTTTTAATCCTGTAAAAAAAATGTGCATTTTTGTGTATACAACTACCTAAAGTAAAATTTTGTAGAACACTTAAATGTAAAGGAGGATGTTGTAACAAACTGAAACCCATTAATGCTGTAATAATTATTTATCCAACCCCTTGATAAACTGTAAATTTAGGGTTGATTGCAATAATTTCTTTACAGTGTGGCAAATTTAGCTAAATACAATGCGCATTAAAATGTTGATTCTCATTTGCAATTAAGGGCTACACCCGAAAATAAATCGGTGAACTTGGAATATCCTAAACATGTGGCATTAACGTAAGACTAAAATAGGATATGGCTCAATACATTTGAAGTGGCCAAAAATGTTTTAAGCAATTAGAATAATACTGGGTAAATTACTGTGATTGCTATGTAATACCCTTTGGATGTGATTGTAGAATTCTGTTAAGTCATTTGGTGTTGAGTGTCAATTGTGGTTGGGGTATGCAAATAAACTCACAGTTGGCGCCTATGAGCGACTCGATGTGCTCGCGTCTCCGCTGGCGCAGACGGTGCACCAGGAAGAGGAGGAGAGAGAGAATGAGGAAGGAGGAGATGCAGCTCACGATGAGACGCATTCCACTTGCCATCCCATCCAGGAAGCTACCACCAGCTGCACACAAACGCCACCAAAACCAGAGGGACATGAGAAAAACACAAACCTTCCAGCAATAATGGCAGCTCACAATTATTTCAAATCAACGTTGGATTCATAAGTCCATTCATTGGATCATGTTCCTATGGGTGGTAAAGAGCACTCACTGAATAAAATTCTCAACAGCTGCCCTTTATAGCAACATCAGGTTTATTCTTTGAATCGGCCACATTTCTGGTGTTCAGTAATTTGTAGTGGGTTGTGGATGCAAAGCTGCGTGTGTAAGCCACCTGGGTCAAGGCAGGTAAACTTGCAGCATTCACGAGGGTCCATTTGGAAACGCTGGCAGGCCTGGGGACGCTCGCACAAGGCAGCGATGCACGTCTCGGCTTCGCCCTTGTGACACTTGCACATGAGGCACGGGTCACTGCCTCGCGGCGTGAAGTCTTGGCCCTCAACCACCACGTTCTCTCGGATGTCGATGCACGTCTTTTCTGCAATTGCACCCACAACATGGGGGGGGGGGAGATTCATTGATGCTCGTGAAAACCTGAAGGATTTTATTTGTTCAACAGGTATACACCATAAAGTATATATGTTTAAGTAAATTATAGGTATTAAGCATGCTACCGATGTTGCCCATTCTATTTGGCTTTACAATTTCCCAACCGTGTGAAATCGGTGAAAATGTGCACATTTATTACCCATTCCTGACATATCCCAATTGTGATATGGGCATCATGTTCGTGTTATATAACAGCCCACCTCTGAGATCCCTTCAAGTGTGACCTTTATTTCAGACAGTCAGAACAGCACTTTCCCACCTGCTCTGACAGTAAATTTAATTGCATGAGTGACATATTTTTAATTCTCAGCTAAAATAATTCTTCCCTGGAATTTTGCCCAAGTGCACAGGCAAATTTAATGCGACGATTTTGTCAGGCAGTAATTGGCGAGTGGGCTGAGATTATTCACTCTTTACTTGTTTCTCAAGTTTAATCATAGATGGCTTCCTGGACGTGAACCCAGGATGCTCAGTGATGCCAGCTGAGTGTTCTGAGCCAACTGGCCAATATGTGAAAATTGTAAAATAAGTGGCAACACATTACAAACTACAGCTGGAAATTGTGAACTTACCAGCAACATCCCAAAGTAAATGACATGCTTTAATCTCGGAATATGTTAAGAAATACAAATAGCAGCGACTTACCTTGCTTGCACAGGAAGGGAGCTTTCTGGTTGCAGTTCTCAGCATACCAGCTGTGCAGCCCACGGTGCCGCAAGCTTGGGTAGTGGAAGCACTGCAGCTGGCCACACAGCACCTCTGCCTGCTCTGAGATGGCTGCTCCAAAAGTGGGCACCTTAAAGGGGGGGAAAAAAGTAAAGCCAGCCAGTGGTTATTAAATTATTTTGGGTCAGAATGATGAATTATTCACTCCTGATCATGGTGTTTAAAATAGGCCAGTGACACTTAGTAAGATGACAAATATTAAACAAATTTTTAACTACCTTGTCTGGGGGAAGAACCACCTCTTGATGAGAGCCCACTCCTTTAAACAAAAATAAACGATTGGAATTAAATGACAGAGCAAAGCGTGATATCAATTAAAATGTAAAGTTGCTTTACATCCATGTGTTTAATAGTTCTTACATGTGTATAAAAGTTCAATAAAAACAAATATAAAATACCTCTAACAGCTACAAAATAATTTACATTAATAGTTATTCTCCAAGTGCAATATGGTTAATCAACAAGTAAAATTCATTGAAAACATGCCATTCTGATGCACCAGAATGGATATTTGCAGATTTTTTTTCTGTTGTTGGAACCTCTCCGTGTGGTATGTCACGTCAGCATGTTGTTGTAATAAAAACAAAAATGCATTGAAAATAAAACTTTTAATCATCAGGAATAGTAATAAGCAACTGAATTTTAAATAATATTCAGCTATGTGACATCACTAAATGCAACCACATTTCAAGACAATGCTGCATGACCATTAATCAGCTTGAAACTTTTACAATTACATTTAAATGGTTTTAAAACAAAATATAAAATGTAATGCAAGCCAACAATTGGTGGCATACTTACCCCATGCTTGAACCTCTTGCCAGTGGCCCTCCAGTGAATTTTTACTACGGTTTGTGACAATGTATTGGTACCCTACCCAAAACCTGCACGCACAAAGGAAAGTTAACACAGCTCGTCTTAATTAAAAGAAATGCACAGGTTTACACCATACTCTAAAATAAAATATTACATTTTCTCAGCCTCATACTCGGCAACTGACCTGCCATGCTCACGTGGTAGACCGTCTCGCTCTTCCAGTCCCCAGTCCTGGCTCAAAATGAACTGCAACTCCAAGTCACTTGTGAGAGTAGCCAGGTAGCCTCCGGCCTGCCCGCAAAGCTGGGCAGCCTCCCAGTAGCTGTCAGCAGTCGCATATGCCCGATAGCAGCTGGCTGTGCTCTCGTAGTAACGCCAGCCCAAGGGGCACTTCTCTGTGAACCGTGCACACATGTCAGCAGCTATATTGCTTTTGGATAAAATAAAGTAAACTTTAATTAGAATCTCAAAGCAGAGCAGTTATATCAAACGTGAACAGCTCATTGGAATCGGATTTAAACACAACCCATTGGGTTAACCAAAAAAGGGCCCATCAACTTATTAGTCATGATTAAGAGATGAGCAACCTTGGTATGAATCACTCATCTCTAGTATAAATAAAGCAGCATCAAAAGTCACCGATGTCTCAATTGTATTCAACTACTTTCATTAAATATACAATGTTTGCAATTTTCTTATAAAAATACTAAAGTTTGGTAGTTAACTTATGATGCACACTTGTTCATTTGACAAATTGGTCAAATGTTGTTGAGTAACGAGCAGTCAAAAACGTGTGTTTTGACCAAAATGTCACGCTTACTGTGAGAGTCTGAGGAGAGGCCAAACGTGGTCTGCAGGCGGGAGTTGTCCCCTGGTGGGCCTTTGTTTTCTGGCCGGTCTCTACTCTGGTAGATCCACACCTCTTCCGTTGGTCCTTCAGGGGAGAGAACAAGGACATTATTTTACTTTATATGGGTCAGGGAATGTTAACTATTGTAATGTTGAATAACCAGAAGAGTATACATAACTCTCATTTATAAGTGATATGAATATGCCGAGTGGATCACTGAGCCGAAAGAATTTGGATCATTCACGATGTGGGAAACAAAGCATTTATAAACCACCTATGACAATTTAACATTAATTGGAAACATGCCAAATGCTATTAATGTAACATCAAATATAGGCCCATGACTCATGGATAAAGAAACAATACCCCTGTTCATTTCACGTGCCGTTTTCAATCATGAGAATGAGTTCCTTAAAGGAATGTGATTATTACAAATGCCACCTGTATTTGGTTTAAAATATTTTTATTCATTGGTACTTATTCAAGAAATGTTTATCTTTTGCATACCATAAAAAATAATATATATTTTGTTTACTCTAAATCTCCCTTCAGTAGGGTACTGCATTAAAATGTGTGCACTGTGCTTAATTTCTGGAGCAAACATTTGACTGCAGCAAAAGTGTATCTAGAAAATAAGTTGATTAAAAATTTCAGCCTGGCTATGTCGCTTAAAAAAGTTGAACATCTGGAGGCACTCGTAATGTTTTTTTGACTAGAAAATACTGGTGCACAAAAACAAATCTTCTATGACGGTTAAACGAGTAGTTATTTTTGCAAGTCATAAATACGTAAATGGCATGTATTAAAAAATGCATTGCAACCAAATATTTATGGTACTATGATACAAATTAAAACCACGTAAAAGAATATCAACGTATATTCCATATCGGTGATGCATTATGTGTGTCATACTAGGAAAATCTAAAAATGTATGTTCACTATAAACATATATCAAATTCGAAAATAGCGTTTGTGTATTTTATGAAAATAGTCAAGCTTTAGTGAGACTCAAGGATAATGTTTAAGAACTTAAGTGTAACATTTCTGTACAATTCAGCCTGCAAAAAAAAATGAAATGAGTAGTTGTGCCATGTAATTGAACATCAGCTACTCCTGTAAGGAAACAAGTAGTTCAACACTGCTACTTGCATCTTCCAGCACAGTAGAAAGGGAAAATAGCCTTGAAGAAATATGTACAGGCATTTGAACAATTGGGAACATTCTCACCATGTGCCACTAAAAGGCTACAAACAACCAAATTTTGCATTGGTATACAGCACTTTAAAAACAAATATAACAAAAGGCCTCACGGTTTTGCAAGTGGGGAAACTACCCTATGTGTAAAGCGCAACTTCAACTGTCAACATAGATTAATTACAAAACGCAAACCCATCTTGGCCATCAAGAAAACAATAATCTTGTGCTTTCCTTTAAAATAAACCACTACCAATGAAGGCTGTAAAAGGCTCAGTAAACTAAAACCCATAATCCCCTCGAGTAATGTCTCCAGCACCACACATCTTTTGTTCAATTTGAACGACGAGATAAATGAATGGAACTTTCCTCACTACAGAAATCAAAGGATGCCATTTACAGGGAATTTGACCATCTTCACATAGATGGCAGCACATACTATACAATTATTCTAAAAACCTGTAACTTAAAATGCAATGGACTTTTTCACTTCATTTTCATTTTTATTACTTTATTGTTATTATTTTTTCTATCTACGTGACTTTACCGAAAGAACCAAAGAATATGTAATGGAATAATTAATTAATTGAGGCATACTGAAGACTAGAAACTGCTGAGTTGTCTAAACCATTAGCAATATCCAATTCGAAGGCTAAATTCAAAAGAAGTCTTAACACTGGTCGGCTTTAAACAGTGCACGACTGAACCAACAACATATGCCAATTGAACACATTGGTAAACACATGGGAATGTAGAAACGACTGGTCTTTTTTATCAAAAGCTTCAACCAAAGCACAGTAACGTAACTTAGACGTCATTACATTAACTAGGTGTCCTTGACGTTTAAGACAAATATACATATGATGAAGCAAACACTAAAGGGGAAACACACTGACAACTTTACCGGGGCAGTTAGCTTCATCGCTGTTGTCTTCGCAGGAGGCCCAGCCATCGCACTGCCAGCTGAGTGGGATGCACTTTATTTTGCCGCTCCAGCATGCAAACTGGTCTGAAGAGCACCGAGAGTCTGCACAACCCAACCACGGACAATGGGCACTGCTCAAAAGCGGGCTGCGACATTTTTCTTGGGTTCAACAATCCCAAAAACGAAAAAAATTACGACATTAAGAGTAACTTGCTTGAACCAAGAAAATTAGTCAGCAAAGCTCATCGCTTACCTGCTGGTGCCCTGGCCAGTGCCTCTCCTGGAGCTGGGGAAGAGGCAAAAGCACAGTGGTATATTTCATTATAGTCATGGTTCTACATTTTTTTTGTTTACAAAGATCACGTTTTCATGTCATAAAGCGTGTTAACAGTTATGCAGTGACAAGGATTAATCTCACGCAAAAAAAACTAAATAGAATTTCTACGAAAAATAAAGTCCGTGTGGCATGCTATTTATAAGAGTTCACATTAATCCCAAATATCATTGAGATCCGGTCAAAATATCGAAAGGTCATACAACGGGTTTGCTAACATATCACCGAATCATGTTGCTGTTCTCTTTACAGTAAAGCACATGGCACAGCACGAAAACCTGCAAGTGTGCTCTTAAAAGTCATATTTTTTGGAAGTAGGTGGGTGAACTGTACAGCAGGAGGGTGTACCCAGGTGTAGCATTTTGTTTATATTGCCGATAGCGCACTGGATTGCACAACAACAAAACACCGCAGTTAATGGAATAGATTAGGTCTATCCGAATATTCGGTTCTACGTTCATTACCCTGTACGTAGCCGAATCAAAACTAAACGCTCCAAAACGAAAACGCTCACAGCTGTAAACGTTCACAAAACACTTAACCGTTTCCCGTGATAAAATTGCAACGGATTCATCTCGCACAAAAATACGTGGTCACCGGACAGCAGCTGCGGATATATACAGCACTGCACTACTTTAGGCAATGCGGTGGTGCATTCAATATGGGCGTGCAGCAAGTTTTAATTAGGGTACTTTGTGTGCACTTTACGGGACTACACCACGAGCGTTCCCGGCGATAAATCAAACCGTGTGAATAATTGATAATTGAAAGAACATTTGCTTTGAGCGGTCAGTGAACTCGCGGCCTGGGCCCCTGCGTGGCATATGCCATTGGGCCGCAAAAAACCTTTTAGCAAGCGCGTCAAGTCCAGCAGAGTAAAGAGATGAATGGTATAAAAAATATATATACTGTAAATGGTAACGGGTGCAGCCCTGCCATTACTGCGCTCGCCACTGCGGGTGAAGGAACAAGAAGGGATTAAGCACACAACCCACTGCGTTGACTGGATGAGGAACCCAGGCTTTGTGTAGAATCCCTCGATCAACATTTTTGTTCGGCGGGAGGGGTCCGGTAATTTACCTCTCCTGCCCCCGTGGTCTGAAACTCCAAGCCACCCGTGCAAGTCCAAAAAAAAAAAACAGGGCCCACCGCTTCTGTGTACAGCGTCTTAGTATGCGGCCACCTCTAGGCGTTATGTAAATCCACATTGTAGTGTTTTGGAAGCGATGCAGGCGTACTAATATACACAACAGCGCGTGTATTGATATTACATCACGTTCATTCGCTGCCAATTGCATCGTTTGATGCGTTTTTTGCTGTGCACGCGTACATGCGACGCACATCAGTGGTGTCTTGGAAAGCCATAAAATAAAAAGGCTATGGTCTAAAACGTAGTGGTCAAATGTAGGTGGATTTGGTGCATTATTAAGTACATTCTACGTCCGATCCAATCATTCAAACTATCGCATTTACATTAAAGCCAACGTGATGACGAGGTTGGCTTTTTATGAAGTACACAAGTGGATTATAAACGCCTATCACTGTATCTGTACGCAGCAATACATAATCAAGCTGCGAAAGCGGCATCATCCGTGAAACTACGGAGAGGTTGAAGGCATTCGTCATTCACGAACATCACATCAAACCCAGAAGGGCATCCATATGTTCGGTGCAGAGGAATTAAAGCCGCAAAAATCCCCCGTGTAGCCTGAACAGACTGTTGGGGCAAGAGCTGTTAGCGAGCAGCACCTATGACGGCCGACACTGTGGCACACGAGTGGGGTGGCCAGCACCACCTGACCCGCCTTTGTCTCCCCAGTGGCGATGTTTCCACGCCAGGTACTTCATTTGAGGCTGAGTCGACCTAGGGGAGAGGCCCAGGACCGGTTCAGATCCCCTTCGCCGGTGTTGGCCGTGAGCGGGACTCGGAACTCTGGCCACCGGGTTCGGAGCGCGTCGCGCTAAACGCCACGCCACCGCTCCCCGCAATTAAATCAGACGTACACAGGGCGAGCGGGTGGGCGGTGTTGAGTGTACAACTCAACGTGCGCAACATCGGCGTTGTTGGTTTTTTGTAACGACGTATATCGCCTTCCCCCCCTCCCCTCCTCAAAAACACAAGACTTAGCAAGAATGAATAAGCAGATGCCGGAGTAAAATCACGCGAAACACGGTGTGGTCCTACGGCCACTCCGCGCAAAGCGCACGCGGTTTCATAAAAACCCGACACCGAAAACCGAGGCAGGATTATCCAACATTCCACACAGCGCAACACGCAGCCAGAGCCCTCGCTCGCCATTGGCCAAGCTCTGGGCCGGTCAAAGCGAGCGAGCGAGCAATCCCCATTGGTCCTCCTCGTGCATGATTATGTTAATGAGGCGTTGAAGAGCGAGGGGGGGGGGGGCCTCGCGAACCAATCGCGTTGGGAAATCCGAAGCGAAACTCACCCGCGCGCTCCGCCACCGCCAGCACCAGGCCGAGCAAAAGCGGCTGCATGGAGAGGCGCAACATTTAACCGCGATGCCGCATGCTTGTCTCCTCTCGTGAGAAATTCTCTCCAACGCCCAGTCCCCAACCCTCCCCCTCCCCCCCCCCCCCCCCCCCCCCCCCCCGAGCGGGATCCGCCCGACTACGAGCGTCGATTTCTCGCCGCCGTCGATCCCCGCCAGCCACCGACGCCGTCGCCTCCGCTGCAGCCCTCAGAGAAGCGACAACAAAAATGGCGGCCGTAGAGACGTCCCCCTCCCTCACCACCCTCCCTCGCCCCTCCCACTCACCCTCGCCCCTCCCACTCAACCCCCGCCCCTCCCACTCACCCTCGCCCCTCCCATTCACCCCCGCCCCTCCCACTCACACCAACCCCCGCTTTGTATTTCCTAGCTCGGACGCGCGCGGTCGTCGTGCGAAGGGACGCCGCCGCCGCTATTGGCCGAGGCGGCGCGTGACCCGCAACGCCTTGACCAATCGAGTTGGTGGAAATCGGCTGCGCTCGCTTATGCAGACTGGGAAAAATAAACAATGGGGGCGGGAGGGGGAGTTGGTGAGGACCCCGCGCGTTAGGTGGCCGCTGCGCACGGTGTGGCGGTGCCTGCGCGGGGTAATTCATAGCACAATGTTTAACATGCACCTTTCATGCTAATGTTGCCGGGTTTTTTTTACAATTGGTTCACTTCAGATTATCCATTAGACGGGTTTTACAATATGCCATTATTTCAACAAAACGCATTGTGCTATCAAATATAAAATGTGAAATTGTATTTTATTTACAGGTGAAAACCCGTGCAGAAAAAAATATCTTCAACGAAAGACATGAGCACATTGACACGAACACATCAAAAAAATAGTCACAAATAATCACTGTTAAAATGCACTCAGTATGGTAATATAGATAATTTGTATTGTTACAAAAATACCCCACCCCGTACTCATTAAATGGTTAAATTAGGAATTGAAAATGAAAAGTCTCCGATTGTTAAAAATAAAACGTGTCAAAAATGTCATCCTAACATCACAATGTTTCACCTGCTAAGTAGTGTTATTTACGTGAAACTGACTGCGAGTAATTATTTATCATCTTGGAGGTATGTTGGTGTGTCAATTGATGTCTCACAAAGCATACAAAATGTGAAGATATGCATTAGACCATTGGAAGCGTATTTGTTATATTTATTGTTGACCAACTTATCAACAAATCAGGTGTCTCGCAGTAAATCAAGTACTGTAATTTAAAACACTCCACGGTCCAAAAGAAGAGTGTCTCATGACCAAAGGTTATAATGGGTGTCAACTACTGCCCTACTGACAGATGGCATTCTAGTTATAGTACTTTGGGAGTTTCACAGCTGGCTCATCTCGTCACATACCAGGAATGTTGGTGCCACGAACAGACACATTCCTAGGTGCAACTGCAATATATGGCGATAGATTTAAAATTTCTGCTGGCTCAGTTATTTTGGATTGACCGACACTTGCATTGGCCTATAATATAACTAAAAACACGTTGGAGGCAGGCTTTAGAGACAAAAGTCAAATCTATATCACGTGCAAGCAAAACAGTCCACAAGGGATAATGGGATTCCGAAATCAATCACACACTGCAGCCTTGTGAGGTCAAATGTGTTTTAACAGCTGGTGAATATGGCCATATATTTTCAGCAACAAGATAACTTACGAGTGCAGCTCATAAGAATCTTAAACTTGCCTCGGAGAAAATATTCTGTACACCCTGGTGGATGTTTACCCTGAATGTTCAGTGATATATTTTGTGGGGTTATTTATTCCCCAGCAAGTAAAGGGAAATGGTTTTGACACTCTGTCCAAACATGTTTTCAGAAAAACCGTGATATGGACCTCAAATGGTGACCTGTGGAAGTGTAGATATGTGTACGTTATTCGCTGGCTGGCATTCGTCTGTCGCCATCAGTCAAAGGCACATCAGGACACCAGTATTCGAGTAGAGTATTGTGTTTTTTTTCCCACGTTCACACACGTAGCAATGAGAGTATTCAGATCACACGGGCCATTGTTATATCCGCAACGCTGCACCGCATTTTCTCTTAACAAATTAACATGGGGAGTGAGATGGCCCAGCGGTAGCACGTTCCACCGCTTGTTGCAGAGGTTCACAATTCCCATAGAGCGGCCTAATGACGTTCACATTGTGTGCCAGCGTCTTAGTCCAAATGGACTAAATTAGAAAAAAAAATACCAGTAAATTACTCATTTAGAATTACTCTATGCATGGCAGTCATCGCCCTCTGCTGCAAAAACTTGGCAGGGCCCTCCTGAGAAAAAAGTCACGAGACGCTGTGGGGTAAACAATCATACTACAGGACTAATAATATTTACACGGTTGGCAAATCCACAGCTGGATGAGGCCTCTGTTTCTATATACCGTGTCGGTTTCACGGGGATTTTTTGATCGTAGCGAAGCAAACCTCACGAACTGGAACTATCTCGACCAGGCACAAGAACACGAACAACGTCTACTATGAAGAGCAGTAGACCATGGATGATGCTCCCACGCATCTGTAGTCTGTGAGAGGATCCGCGCACAGCTGATGAATTTAGCACCGTTACTGACTGACCTTTGTGCGCGCCTGTGCCCACATTCAGTAGCCAGTGGTTTAAAGTGGTGTGATGAACACGAAATTACTTAATTTATACAGTATTGCCACCGTGTCATCCGCCCAATCCCATGTACTGCATATTCGCAATATGTCCTCTGTAAGGAAACGTTTGTTGTGAAGGCGTCATTCGGCTTCGATGCATCCATAAGCCATCAAAACATAACAGCAATTTGACCGACAGAGGGTGCCACAACGTATAGAGGTACAGGGATGCAGATATGATACACAACAATACATTCTAATGCTGCTTCCTGTGTGCATTTGAGATTTTGTGGGTGCCCGAATGACGGTGCAGGGGGAGGATTGGTGGCTTGGATTAAAATGTTCATCGTTACTGGACGCTATGTCTTTGGTTTGTATCGTTTCTCTGGGTTTTGAAGGTTCTGTTTGTCGTGGTTCCTCTGGCCGATGTCCTAAATTCGTTAATGTTTGTTGTTCCTCTCCAGATGTTCCCCTTTCACCTCGGCGTTATATTTCTCGTTTGCGTTGTACATACATTTTGAGATTCTGCGTCAGTATTTAAACAATCAATGGAAATAGTTACGCGTATCTCATGACTATTTATACATCTGCCAGTTTTGCAATATTCATTAAGTGAAATAATACAGCCCCTTTGTTCCATGCGGTTTTTAATGCGCGTGATAAACGCGACCCGTCTATTTTGTTACTATACTGGGTAGAAGTGTTATATTTGGGATACGTGTATCATATACCGTGCCCGTGGTCATTGTGCTTAATTTAGGCGATGTAACACCGTGTTTGTGTTTGCGATCTCATATCGCTGTGTAGCGCCCGCTATATCGCGTGTTACCGCTGGTGCCTAATGCGCGCGTTTTGTGACATGCGATCGGACAAGTTGTGGCATCTTTTTGTCGATAACCTCAAGGTTACTTAACAACGACAATTTCGGTTGTTTGTGGACGTGAAACCGTGGCCGCTTCTGAACGCGTACAATTCAGGAACCTAATGCCAATTCTAAAATCAATTTGTAAAAAAAAAAACCTGTTACGTCTCCTGTCTTAAATCAACGGTCAGCTTCGAGTTACGTTTCTTAAGGATAGACATGCTGGTTGGTGGTCACCAAGATATTGTGAGCTGTTTTGAGGACTGTGGAACATTATTCGGCGGGTAGGAGGTCTTATGGGGTCAGGTTATCTTCACCAACTCGCATTGACCAACGTGCTGAGTGATCTACGGTCACACGCTATCTTCTCCCCCCTTAATTGACGAGTGAGGCCTGCATCCAGTATTGGATTGACCGTGGCTGATAAATCAGATGGTCTGAGATGCCTTTAAAAAAAATCAAGTTCATCTCTAGATTTTAGACGGCTTCTTGTTTTTTTTTACTTGGGTGAACAGTTGTGCTTGAATTGCATGATAATACCGCATTAAATCCAGGCATTCCGAACAATCACAGACTATTGTACACGAATATACCAGCAGCGACAGTGCTGGTCCATTCGGAGCCCTGAGCAAGGCAAAGAGATACCGCGAGATGAGAGGAAATTAAGTAGAGATGCAGTGACAGAGATGTAGTGAAATGAAATAAACGTAGACAAGAAAAACAAACGGTGTGCGATGAAAGACACAGACAAGATAGATAGTGATTAATTCGTTTGTAGTTTACATTTATTAAAACATACGTATTGTATTAGTATTTCGTTCACACGTATATATTTTTGTTTAAATGAACCCAGGCCCTCTTAACCTACTTGGAGGCCAAAGCATCTGTTTTAAGTTTGCGTACGCCTTGCGCCATGCCTGTATATCGGGAGATGTAAGCAACGCGTTAACGCACACGCACGAGCTTTGACGTGCAGGATGGGCATTGGCGATGACCATGAGGTTACTTTATTTGGGAAATGGCCCGCGTACGCACTGTTGCTCGCACGTAATCACGCTTCACAGCGTGCTGGTGCATTTATTTGGATAAAATTGCAGCACAGTGACACGGCGCAGAGCGGGCAAAAAATCGATGCGAGGATATGCGGTTTGGTTGAAAATGTCTTTTCGCTTCCCTCCGCCCCCTCCCAGCCCTGTAAATGGAGCGACATGGGTCAGCTTCCCACCTCTTATATATTAATAGCTTCTGCATGCGCTCTTCCAAAGTCTGTTCAACCAGTGCGTGGTGCAACTGCGCTCGGCTGTTTATAAATGTGATCGTGGCGGGGTGGTCAATGCGTGCGTGGAGAGTCTCTGGTTAATGGTTAAACCGGGCCTACAGTGTTGTCAAACAAGGGGTACTGCATGGTTGGCCTTCGGGCTGTGGTGCAGGCAGGTAATCATCTCTTTAGTCAATCAGTAATCCCTCTGGCGGCGTCAAACCTGCGGGGAGGACACGAGTTCCATTTAAAGAACGTGCTGTCCTGATGGAAAATTCAGAGTTAAGAGTAGTGTCGCCGTTCGGTTTTAGCATCTGTCATCCCTCGGTCTTCTGAAGAGAACATCGTTTTTGTTGGTGGGTGGAGTGGGGGGGAATATACAATTAATTCGGACGTTAAATTTTGATTTAAAGCTTTCGTGACTGCAGTAATTCATATTCTTAGTTTTTTCGGTAAAGTCACGTTGAAGAGAAACAACAGAATAACAATATCTAAAACTAAGAATATAATTCGGACGTTGTTTGTATTCAGCTGGACGTTTCAAATAAGATTTTTTTTTTGGAGGGGGGGGGGGTGGAATTCATCTTCACGCTTTGCGAAAATCTATCTACCATCACCTGGACGTTTCAATAGCAGAGAACTTCTACGTATGCATTTAAACAATCAAACGCACTTTGTACACAGTGCGTAATATATGGGCTGTTAGGGGGAACATTCAACGATGACTGCCAAGGCGCTCTCGGATCTGCTGACTCGCGGCACGGGCCGTGAAGCCGCCGTGGAGGTGCAGGAACCCAGTGCCGACGAGTCCGAGTCGGACCTGGACGAGGCGGTGACCTCGTCTCCCTGCGTCGACGAAGACGACGACGACGACGAGGAGGACGATCAGCTGTTCGCCGGCATCACCACCACCACCAACACCACCGCCAACAGCAGCAGCGGCGGCGGCGGGGTCGGGATGCGACCCACGCCGGGGTCCGGCACGAAAGAACCCCGCGCGGAGAGGACCTCGCAGATCATCCACAGCGGACACTTCATGGTGTCGGCGCCGCACCGCGACGCGTCCACGCGCCGCCGCTACGACTTCGACACGGTCGACCGCCAGACGTGCCGCACCTACCGCTTCGGACCGCGCAGCGCGTCCCACTACCTGGCCATCGACGCGTCGCTCACGCGCCTCTTCGAGTGCATGACCCTCGCCTACAGGTGTGTGTGTGTGTGCGCGTGTGTGCGTGCACGCGCGTGCGCGCGCGTGTAATCCCATACATCGGTAGTGCAGCGGTTAATCGACCGAGTTCGGTGACCCGAGTTCGATTCCCGTTTGCTCACGGGCCAACACCGGTGAGGATTATATTATCTGAACCGTTCCCAGGCACTCCCCTAGGTCGATTCATCTGCAAATGAGAATAAGGCGCGGTGTGTAAGCATCGCCACTGGGGAGACAAAGGCGGTTGGGTGTGGTTCTGGCAACCCATCCACCTCATGTGCCGTCCGGCCTTCACATCACTTGCTCCAACAGTCGGTTAAGGCTATACGGGGGATCTTTGTCTCCGTGTCTCCCGGAGTGCACGATCCTCGCCGTCAGGTGTTAGTGGTTGTGTGCACGCACAGGTGTGTCAACTATTGACTGTATGGCTGTCACCTAAGGATGCGTGTTAGCGATTGAATGGGTGTATGCCTCTCTGCATGGCACGTGCGTGAGATTACACATGTACACATCTTTGAAGCTCTGACTTGCAATAGTTTGTTGTATGTATGTAGAACTTCTTTTGCTCCGTACGTAGCCAACCGTGCAAAGTGGGGGTGCGGGATCTGTACTGCAGAATGTCACATATACAAATGTCAAGTTACCCAAATTACATATACTCATTGCAATTATTTTGAGTGACCATGTATTTACTCTTTTAGATCAAACTTAATTGGCTCCCTGCCTCGGCTGGCATTGCATGATTGTATGTTGAACTTCTTTCGCACCGTACGTAGCCAACCGTGCTAATCGGAGGTGCTGGGGAAGGACAACAAACTAAACACAAAAAACAATTCTAAAGAAATGGGTCTCTGTGTGAGTCTATGGGTCTCTGCGTGAGTCTATGTACCGTATGTTGAACTTCTTTCGCACCGTACGTAGGCAACCGTGCTAATCTGAGGTGCAAGGTAACCGTTATTAATGTAACCGTTATTACCTATAAGGTCCAGTACGGTATTGGCCCAAGATACTTGTCCTGTTGTCCTCCACTGTTCACCTGGGTATCCAAAAGTGAACTCTGCATGCTTCTGGAGTGCGTTAACACAGCAAGCTAATTCCAGAGCACTGACCATCTCATTGGCATGTATGGGACACTGAATTACAATGTAGTGTGTATGTTAATATAATTCCATTAAAACACCAAGTATAAAAAAACACGAGCACATTCATCACAATCATACGTAACACTACGCTAAAGAGTGGATAATAAATGACAGGCAATGTTTTGAGCAGTTGCCTTTCTTGACATCTTTCTGCTTTGATCTCTCTGAAATAAAGAAGGGTCAATGTCCAAAAGGTCGCTCACCTCTTATAGTATACATTTTTCTGTCCTTAGGGTACTTTCATTGACAACAGTTTCAAGTGTTTTTTTTTGCGATTAATGGAATTAAGTGTGTTTTTACAAAGCGTTATTTTCTATTGTTTTTTTGGTGCAATTATATTTACTCTTAATTGCGCACATATTTTACAAACATTATTTTATAACACGGCAACAATGAGATGCAGACAAGCTCCTGATAGCAGAGTTTAATTTCGAATCTACAGGTCACTTCGTGGTAGACAAAGTAGCTTGGGAAAATACCGCACAGTGAGAAGTCACCTTACAATCAATGCCAGCTCATCATGTGTTTTATCTTGTGCTGTTGCACCACTGTCAACGTGGTAACACAAACAAATGTAATAACAACAATGCCTTGTTTATACAGTACAAAACAATACCAGATGTGGGCACATATATATTCACGTGATTCGTAGCAAAAGCATTGTATTGTCTATTTCAGAGCAAAAGTTTTTCTTACATAAAATGTAAAATGCAATAGACAGACGTAAAGAAGAGGGATATATACAAATCGACGTACAGGATATGATGAGATATATCAAGTGGGAATTAAATAATCCAGCCACTTTTGAATCCACCAATATATAAATGCCTCCCTTTGCAATCTAAATCTTGTGTTTTTTTTTTTAAATAGATCATACTTCACCACGCTAGTCAGTGCGGGTTAGTGAAGTGAGGGATGGCTGGACCGGTTCTAATATCACCTGCCATTAATGTAATCATAGCCGTGGTCAGGAGGTAAACTCGGTTCGCTGGGTTCGTAGCACAGCACCCTAACTACACAACACACTGATTGTATCGCTCCTCCAACGCACATATGCAGCATATGATCCAGTATACACTACACATTTTCAGTCAGCTCCAATTCCCGCCAGTGCTCACAGAGTTTTCGCTGTTCTCAAAGTGCAGTGTACTGAAATTGGAGCTGGTGAAATCTGCTTGTTTTTCAATATGAACCAATATTTTCTCAATTATGCCATTTAGGCTTGCAACACTCGAATGCGTTTCACTGCCGTTGGTATTTTTGTTGTAAAAACAAATTGCAACCATGTGTTTCCAGATAGGCGTGTGACAGTAGAAACATTAATATTTCAGTGTTAAGTGTGTCGCATTGCTGCGAGTGAATGACAGAGAAAGACACAGAGAGACGAGAGAGTGCAATACACAAAAGAGCTATTGGTTCAATGATTTGTCCAATAACATTTTGGTCACCACATAATGCATGCCACTGTTTTGCATTTATACATAATACTTTTTAGATGTGTTTAACATTTAAAGTCTATACTTTAAAAATATTTTTTTATTGTTTGGATTGTCAAGAACAAAAACAAACAACAGGCTGGTGGGGTACAGCTGTATGAGTAGGAAATTACAAACGAGACATGCAATGCTCATCTGTAGTCCCTGAATGCGTTATATATAATTATGATGTAAATATATAGGCGACTACCGTAATTATTACGCAATTAATTCATGAATTCGGCAAGACTAATTCAGTGTTGTTGTCATAAACTTGCCATATTTATAGCGGTGAAGTTTTCATTTCACTTTCCCTTTGTAAAGTGCACTGAGGACTTGTTGGGAAAATGGCTATTGACTAAATGCCCACATTCATTCACGTCTACTCCTTCACACATCTGATCTTGGTTTGGCCATGAGGGCCACGTTGCCTCTCAGATGTCTTTAGAATCAATCACAGCACCCACGAAACTGCCAGACAGCTATGCATATTGATATAGCCTTGATGGATCTGCTGTCTCATTTTAGAGTTGCAATTTTTTCCAAATTATTCTGATAATCATGATAATATAATATACTTTAAAGGAATGTCGTCACATTCCTCTTCTTCTGAACACATTACAATGTAAAGAAGTCATCTTTATAAACAGTATTGCAATGTTGCACAATGTCTACATGTGAATTGTAGCGCAATAAAAAAAAGTTACTGTCACCAAATGTTTAGTTGGTTCAAGATAACCACACTAATTCTCAAGGAGTCCTTTTCAGGAGTATCCTTGATTGCAATATAACATTAATTAGATGAGAATATTTCACGTGTGAATAAACATGAGTCCCTGGGGAAAACCCATATGTTATGCAAAAGGTAATGACACTGAAATACTGCACAACAATAAACTGATTAGGCAACCAGCAACCTACTTGCCACACTGCCATCTGTGGGTGCCACCTCTTAACATTGGCATTCTCATGCACACGGAAGTCATCAGATCATAACATATTTGAAAAACCCTCTACATGTATTGCCTTTGTTAATTTTTGTGTTTAGTTTCTTGTCCTTCCCCCGCACCTCCGATTAGCACGGTTGGCTACGTACGGTGCGAAAGAAATTAAACATACATACATACCTACCCTTTAACTTTCTGTCTCAGGGTTGATACGGTCATTGGTATAATAATAACAATAATCAATTATAATTTCAACATGTAACACGCAGCACAATATTCGCTCACTCTCGAACAGAGAGAACGATTCAGAGGTGCGAGGAACCACAGACCAGCGGGATTTACGGGAGACTTGAACTGATTTAGATAGACATATATAGATATTTAGATGATATCCTCGTAAAAGTGCTTGCATTCACACGATCGGTGCATCTCTCTTGTGCGCTACAGAGTTTCGCAATCCATGCAGCAAGTACGAGTACAAATTCACCAACAGAGCAGATCGCATTGGAGTCTGAGTAATAGATAAATATCCGTTACACAACATTTATACTGGAGGAATCCGATGAGATAAAAAGCTCTTTTTCACAGATGTCTAGTAACCTTATACACCATAGTGAGTAACACTTTTGAAAATACACTCCTACTGACAATTATTTTAAAATTCCAGTACATTATATACAGTAAACTATAAATCTACAGTAGTAATGTTTAGTGCTGTATTCAATCAGAATAACTTATGGTTCAGTCAACGCGCATTTCCTCTCGTCAAATGCAATATTGTATATTGTAATACATTAACCGAGCAGTTAGCTTTTTTCCACCAACATTCAGTACAGAACCTTCCTACACAACATAGTCATGGACATGCAGCTTCTCAGCTCACAGAAACAAAACAACTCGGCGCTCATTTTAAACAAACTGAGAGCTGCTAGCCCTGAAGAATCAAATCATTACATAATGAATAATGTGAAGCCCTTTGTCAACCCATAGCTGGATGGTCTCCCCACGACATGTCGGCCGTGGAGGTTGTTTGACCTTTCTTGCAATACGCTGGCCAGCAAGTGGCTTTTGAAGGCGTTTGCCGAAGTATCCGTTCAGAAATCACCATCCACCGTTGTTAAACCACGACCAGGAATCGAACGCAGGGATGCCGGGTTCATAGTTTAGTGTGCTAACCACTGCGCTTCCTGTTTATCCCTCTCCTCCTCAGGGACATTACTGGAGTGCTTTGATAGGTTTCATTTGGGCGCTTGCAACAAATAAGGCATTCGTTAGAGGCTGTATAAATCATTGAACAAATGGCGGATTTTGTTTAGTCATTCACGGCAGAGGGCTGGAAGTTAAGATGGAGGGGATCAAACATGGTAATTCATTCGATTCTCGGCTGCACATCTTCATAATCCTTTGACTACAAACCTGTTACGTGACAGATACC